TGCTCCAACACTGGAAGTTTTTAAGAAGAGACTGGACAGCCATTTGTCCGAAATGGTATAGGGTTTCCTGCCTGAGCAGGGGGTTGGACTAGATGACCTTCAAGGTCCCTTCCAACTTTACTATTATTATTATTATTATTATTATTATTATTATTATTATTATTATTATTATTATTATTATTATTATTATTATTTAAATGGATATGGGCTTGCCCCTTTCTCTTCCACCTCAGCCTTGTCTGCTATTGCCTTCCTGAAGAGTCTATTGCAGGCAAACTCTGCCCACAGCCAGGTATTCGATCCTTATAGACATGAGCTTGACTCATTCTTCCATCCTTCCAATGCTGGTAAAATGAGGACCCAGATTGCTGGGGGCAATACGCTGACTCTGTAAACTGGTCAGAGAGTGCTGGAAAGCACTATGGAGCAGTATATACAGTAAGTCTCGGTGCTATTGCTAAAGAGTTGGACAGGAACAGTGCTGAGCGCCAGAGTTTTGAGTTCTCTCTCTCTCTCCCTCTCTTTTTGTATAATCATTTTGTTTATCGAAGAAGAGAGGAATGCAGTAGAGCTGTACATTTTAAGCACTGGTTTCTTTTTGCATTTCTCCAGCAATCCTGTTCTAGGTATCTGAAGTGTGTCCCCTGCCACAACCGGTGCCCACCTCCACAATTTGAGGATGCTGCCATTTTCCTTGCTTTATGGGAGAGTGGAAAAAAATGGTGGCTGGTTAACTGAAAGGGTGATCGTTCAGGATGGTGCAACAATGCCAGACTGCTCTAACACTGCCTATAAATGCTACTCCTTTGTGTTTTTCACTCATTTTGTGCAAGGCTGAAATAAATTTCAGGGGACTAGTGGGATCTGCTCTTTCTCACTGCTTCCCAAACAAAATACAGAGGACTGTGTAAGTTGTTACCCATAAGAAGGAAGAGAGAGATATCCTGAAAAGGCACCCTTTGTGACATTATTATTATTATTATTATTATTATTATTATTATTATTAATAATAATAATAATAATAATAATAATAATAATAATAATAATAATAATAATAATAATTGCAAAAGGCAGCCTTACTAGGAACTGCTTCCATCCTGCGACGATATCTATAATACCATCAAACATCCACATCTGCCTATCCCAGGTCCTGGGTAAGGACTCGATAGGTAGACAAAATGCCAAATCCAGTCTGAACATCTGGCTGACTGTGCGATCATCAATAATAATAATAATAATAATAATAATAATAATAATAATAATAATAATAATAATAATAATAATAATAATAATAATAATGCCTATCCCAGGTCCTTAGTAAGTACTCGATAGGTAGACAAAATGCCAAATCCAGTCTGAACATCTGGCTGACTGTGCGATGATCCATTACTACTACTACTACTACTACTATTATTATTATTATTATTATTATTATTATTATTATTATTATTATTATTATTATTATTATTATTATTATTATTATTATTATTATTAAAAACTTCATTCAGTGCTGGTTACAACTAAATGGAGTGGAGAGGAAGAAGCTGAGCAATAGTGGACTCCTGTGTTACACCCTTCCTGCCACAGTGCTTTGATTAGGAAATGCTTTTCCTTCTTGGTTGGTTGGTTGGTTACGTGCTTAAATGGGAAAGAAGAAGAACCCAAAAGCTGTACCAATAACTTTGCTGTCAAGCCTGCACGCAAATAATTGAGACACCATTTGGCGGAGGCAGAAGAAGCAAGAGAAGGGTCAGCAAAGGGGGTAGCAAAATTCATGTTGTTAAAATATTGGCTAAAACTCAGGGCTAGATAATGCTTTCCCCCAGCAGTCAAGTTCTTGGTCTGATGATTGTTTTTCTGGTCCTTGCAAACCCTCTGGTGGCCAAGGGTGGAAGTTCAGGAGCTAAAAGAGTTTTTAAAACCAAGGTGCATCTGAACCTTCTCCGGAAAAAAGAGTGTATTCTTCAGGAGCTAAATTCTACATTTCTCCCTTGGCTTTGTTGTTATAAGATGGAGATCCACTGACACAAACTGTTTCTAGAAAGGCCTTTTAACACGCAAAGGGCCCAGACATCCTTTTCACGTTGCCTGGCAGTTGAAATTCACACATCTTAAATCTGACAAGTTTGAAAAACACTGTCCTACGGCATCTGGTACCCCTTTTGGTGGCCAGTAACAGCGCTCCATGATGTCATGCTGGCCACATGACCACAGAAATGTCTTTGGACAGTGCTGGCTCAATGGCCTTGAAACTGAGAGGAGCACCACCCCCTAAAGTTGGCAATGACTAGCGGAATAAAATCCGCAGGGACTCCTTTACCTTACAACATCTGAACTATAATCCCCTCCCTTCCCCTTTCTGTTATCTCCCAGTCCCATTATGAGGATTTCAGATGTATACAACTCAGCAAACACAAACATACGATTAGATCAGAGGACCTCTTGGGTCCTCTGATCTAATCTGTTAGGTCTGAATTTCACTCAGAAGGCTACTTCTTTTTAATCTTACCCTGGATTCTGACTATCCCTTGATTATTCTGGGAATTTCCAAGATATTAGGCCCTCACAGTGATTGGAAAAAAACACTCTGAATAGTCTAAATGTGTTCCTGATCATAACCAACAAAATGCTGGAAGAGATGGGCAGGGGAATGAGGAGAGACTGAATTGGGCAGAAGAAATATGGGATTCCTGCCATTAATAATCATCTGCTGAACAGATATACTAGGCATCTTTGCCATAAAACACAGAATAGAATTGAATTGTGTGGACAATATGCTGATATTCAGTAAACCACAAAAACGGAGGGAAAAACCAACAGAAGGCTCACTATTAGCTTTAGTTCCAGAGAGGACAAATGTTGAAGCTTGTCTAACCTTGCAACACCTTCTTTAATGTCTGATTCCCCACCTGTTTAAAGGCAGCCTACACCCCTCCCCCAAGTTAAAGGCAGTTCTTGGCCAGCAAACCCCTATTCACCCCTGGTTTGGCCTGGCTTGAGGTACTATGTGGATTCAGACAACATGATTTATAGAATGTGTTTTAATACAAAGCATGTGGAGTGAATGCCATTAATTATGGCTTGGTCAACAAAACTATTGTTCAAACAAAACAAAAAGCTAGTCATGGTATGTGAATTTAGAATCTCAGTTTAGTTTGCAGAATAAATCTGCAGTAAGATAAAATGAGATTATTCCGTATATGGTCTGAGGAAGTTCAGGGTTCATGTATGAGGCAAAGAAGCCAAGGAAATGTGGCATTCTTTCTGAAATACATACGCGACAGGTCCCTTGCACACAAATATCGTTTGTTCCTGGTTCACAAGGAGTTCCATCAATGACTGCTTCTTTCTGCCTATAGTAGAAATTTTCTCCTTTTGGGATGCAGTTTAATTCACATTTATTGGGAGCTGTGAGCAAAATTAAAAAGAAACATGTTATTTCGCTGCTGGAGCTTTATGTGTTGTTTTATTTTGATTCTTCCACAAATGGAGAAGAGCAGAACTTTATTGATATTCTCACACTTGGCTGTAACAGGCCAGGGTTTAAGAATGCAATTCCATTCTCTGGAATAAGAGGTTAAAGGATGGACCACAGCTAATTCAGGCTTGACTCAGGCCTATCTGTAATTTGGACATAGACCGAAACAAGAATTGCTCAAAACATTGGCTGGTTTCATTGCATTCACACTCCAAGCCATAATACTTTTGGTTTGATTTTGATAAGATTTATTGTGCAAATGCAGCCAGTCGTGTTTTGTTCAATAAACAGGATTCAGCAAACAGTGACAAATGGACATACTTCATTTAGTTTATAGTTAATCAAACCACAGACTTACTGTTGATTTTTTTTTGGACTAAGCAACTTTAGGCAAAGCTGAGAAAAAGAGTAAAATAAATAGAAAGAAAGCAAGATATAGCAGTTAAAGAAATAAGATGAGGCAAGAAAAAGAAAAGTTAATACAGCTAAAGTAGGATAAAGTACATCAACCCCATTCACTATATTTCTCCAAACCTATCTTTAAAAACCACTCTTGCTTCCATCAGGTCTATAGATCAGTTCACATACTGCCTTTTTTTTTTTTTTTAAGCTCATATCTCCTTTATTGAGGAACTCATTTCAGCCACAACTTTTTCAGTGACCCCCCCTTCCTCCCGACACATTCATTCTTCATTCATACATTTTTCAGTTCATTCAGTCTCTGACTAGCTTGTCTTATTTACTTTTATGATTCTCCTAAACTCCACTTATGCTTTGCATAAACAAACTCAACATGGTTCTGTGGCATCATTTATACATCATTTATTTCACTCTATTCCATGCACCTTCACTATCTCCTCAATTCTGTTGGGAGATTAATCTGTCTTCATATTTTTTCTAATACAGGATTTGAACTTTCTCTTCATGCAGCCATTCTTTCATTCTAGTTTCTTTCCTTTCTTTCCTTTCTTCTGTGCCTATTTACCCCTGATCCATTCTTGACACTATCAATGATCAATGGTGCCATATTCAGAAACTGTCATCATTGTATCCTTCACTGTTCTCTCAATCTTCATTGTAAGTGGCAGATCCATTGGAAGCAGACAGTACAAAGGCACCATGAAAAGGAGGGGAGAGGCACCAAATTAAGTTTTCAAAATCTATTCTTCATTCCAACTGCATCAGCTAACTTACATCAGATTTCACTTCTTCCAAAACAAATGCTGTATAATGTCTTCCAATGCACATATTGTTACAGTTTTGGGAAGCTCAGCCTAATCCATTATGAACTGTGGCAAGTCTTCTTCTATGCAGCAACAAAACAACTTAAAGCTTATTACAAACTTCCTGTCTGGTCTTAACCACTATCCTGTTTCTCAAAAATAGCAAATAAAATGATTATGTGGAGGGGTGGTAAAATACATTTTTGCGCAAAGGTGCCTTACAGACCAGTGGCGGTCCTGATAAATGAACAGATCAATCATCCTTTGGAATGCATTCCTGTTCCATGAAGGGACATATCATTAATGTGCATAGTGAAACAGACTTTTTTTCTAAGCAGAAATTAACTAATCAATCATCATTCCTGTTCATTCTTGAGTCTTCGAAAAGCCCAATCACTTTTTCTGTACTCACATGTCTTATCCCACCCAGCCATTCATGTCAGCTAGCAGAACAAATCTTTCTCTTGGACTGCATTCATTTCAAGCGTGGCACATCCCCCCCCCAAAACACATTTCTGGTTCTTTCATTATCACCATTCACTAGAGCGTAACATGCAATGATCAGCAAAGTATCTCCTTTTTGTATAGACATCCACAAGAATCAAAATGAGACTAATTCATATTTTCTGACATACATTTAGCCCTTTCATTCATAACTAAAAATCCCCATTCTCTTCCCTGCATGTATTAATGAACTCTGCTCCACAAGATCACCCCATTTCTACTTAAATCTTTTATATCCTTTCCGTTTCTCTTATTTCACAAGCATACAATGAATCTATTTTCCTTTCTTTCCATTTGTTGATACCTGCTCTTTATCATTTATTCTTCTTCCGTTCCAGTTTAATTACTTTCATTTATTTATTATTATAGTTATCAATATAATGGGCCCACACATACTGATCCCTCCCACTCATCAGGGCTTTGGATAGCTGAGGCTTCAATGTAGCATTTTTTTATATAAGATCTTGCTGACCTTCCCCATTTATCAGCTGGAAGACTCAAATCCAGGAAACCCCCTACTGGTACTAGCACAACATCTGCCCAACAACTTTAACATCAATTCTCAATGGAAAGCCAAATTGGTAGCTGAACGCTCAGACATAGGAAGACATGTAAATGACCTGCACAAAAAAGGGCCCAGGCTTTGAACTGTCACATCAGCAATGGACAATTATGAATAGGATTCACACCACCCACGGAGCCTGCCGGGACTCTCTATAAATGGAACATTGTATCCTCCCCTCGGTGTGACTACAGGGTTCCATGTCAAACTGGAGATCACATCGTGACCTGCTGTGAGTTGAGGGCATATTCTGCTCCAGTGTCTGAATTAATACAAATGATGCTGTGCTTCAGTGGTTAGATGGTCTAGAGTAGATGCTGGTATTTAAACATAGATCTTTTCAACATTTATATTTTATTGTATTTTACTAATCTAGCTGAAATATTAGTATATACTGCTCAACCAACCCACAAGCATGTATGATATGTCATATGCTAAGTAAGTAAATAAATATGTAGGACTTTTCATATTGTTGTTTTATTTGGATATAACTTCATGATTAATTATTCTTAAGGTGCAGATCAGGTTGGCAGTCTATGCCAACTTCAGCTTGCCTTTGCAATCGCAAGGACTGAAGCAGTCACTTTTTGAGATATTGTGATCTGTATGGCTGCAAGTCCCGTGATATTCTGTGCAAGGTAGGATCTCAGTTATAGAAACTCCCTTGCAAGTTTATAGTTTGGAATGTGCAAGGGGATATAAAATCAATGGAACGACATATATAGTGGACAGCAATAGATAGTGCTTAATGACAGATAAGGATGACCATGAAGATTTTCTAGTCAACCCACAACTTTAATCCATTTTTCTGCAATATGAGAATGGAATACTGAAGGACCATGTACTGTATTTGTCTCTGATTGGCATGGGAGAAGAGCAATTTATTAAAAATAATTACATTCAGCATTTTCCTCGACCATGTTCTATTATACTGGCCATGAAAAGAACCTTTTCTTCCAATTCATAATTAGTCTGCTGTCCATCTTGATCACAGAGCTAAATATTTGTGGCCACGGCAAGTGGAAAAAGGTCCAGTATGAACTTTGTTAGAGGAGAACAGGCTTTATTTACAAAGGGAACTTGCCAAACAAGTCAAAATCAGGTGCAAGAAAAGTTAGACTTCAAATTATAGTCAGGTTACCATAGTAAATATTTCTGAAGTATGACAAAATTTACAGAAAAGCCTGGTATGGAAAATTCAATGTCTTAACTGGGGTTTTTTTCTCCCAGTCAGTGAATATACAGCTAGGTTGCGATTAAAGTGGGTTTGAATAATGCAGTATTTGAACTAGTGCAATCGTAAATTGATATCAAGTATTGAACCAGCATTTAGTTATGCAAGGTACAGTTGGACTTGCTGGGTTTTAGACACTGCTACTTGCTTATCTTTGATGCACAAAATGAACAAAAGGAAGATTCTTTCCAATGAAAACACCACAAGGTCAAAAAAGAGGCTCATTATTACATTACAGCAAAAACTGGGTGCGACTGAGCAACATGAACAACTCTAAAATAGCAACTCTAAAATAAGATGAGATTTTGAAATGCCTGATTTAATGGTATGCAGGGGAAATAAAAAGGTAAAGTTGTGTCATTTATTTTGTGGTTTGAAAAGAGCCACAGGGAGCAAAAGTGACTCAGTGATAGAAACCAAGCATCTATAAAGGCTGAGGATTGCAATCAAAAGCAACAGTTTTCTTAGAAGAGGAGATGTTGAGACAAAAGCTTTAAATTTAAGACAGCAAAAGAAAAAAGCAATCAAGTAGAACAAACATTTAATGCAAGTATTGGTTGGTTTGATCAACTTAAAAATTGAGTAAGCTTATCTTTAAGAATGATAATTAGAATTTTTTTTGTTTTTATTTTGCTTTCTATAACTACTCTATGATTTTGCTAACCATACATTTATATTTTTTTATCCTTTACTGTAATATTTCATCAATAAACAAATAATAACACACAATTAAATATTTTCATTGCATATTTCCATAAAGCTGGAACCAATTATCTTGTTTTCCATAGTATATATAATAAAATATAATAAATATACAATAATATATATTATATATTATCATAGAATAATAATAAGAGATAAGGTCTTCTGTTTGAGCAGGGGGTTGGAATAGAAGACCTCCAAGGTCCCTTCCAGCTGTGTTATTCTATGTTCTGTTTTAAATATTATTTGCAATACTGCAAATTTGAATAATGCAACTATTTTGTGGGATTCATTATCTGCCCGAATTGAAACTTAGCTGTATTCCAAAAAAGCAAAACCAGGTTGGGTGATTCTTTTACTTTTCCAAAAATTTTTCACTGATCAGTTTTACCTCAGGAATTTTAAGAATTAGAATACGATCATACTTTTCCCTTCACCATTTCTATGCCCTGCTCTCCCTTTCTGTGAATGTATCTTTCATTCTAACAGCAGATTTTAAAAAAAATTACAATTTTTAACATTTATTTTTTAATTTCTAAAAATTAAATTAATATTTGTAAACATTAAATTATTGATATTTGTAAAAATCTGTTGCTTGCTCATTAAGCTGAAGGGTAGGTTAAATAATGATTTAAATAAATGTTTCCAGACAGGGAATCTCAGCAATTTTCCCCCTATAAGAAGCCATGCATTTTTACCCAGATTTTCTTTCACCCTCTATGAAAAATCTGCAATAGGAATCAATAAACTACCTCCATAGTAAGGGAGCCACTTGTACTTCTTCCCTTGAAATTCTGTCCCATCAAACTCGGCACACTGTTCCGCTCGAAAATCTCTGGAGCCCTCAGGACAGTCCTACAGAAAAGAAGAGAAAAATCTAAAATAGAGGACATGTTAAAGCAGGGGTAGTCAACCTTGGCTCTTTTATGACTCGTGGACTTCAACTCCCAGAATTCCTGAGCCAGGACAGCTGGCTCAGGAATTCTGGGAGTTGAAGTCTACGAGTCATAAAAGAGCCAAGGTTGACTACCCCTGTGTTAAAGCAAAAAAGCAACCAATTTGGAAGAATACTCCAGAGTTTAGTTTCTATATTTTCCTCCAAGTGAGGATCTGTTGTTTATATGCTGCCTTCTCTTATCTTTTTTAAATGTTTTATTGATTTGCTATAATTTAGGCCTGATGCTATTGACTACCTCTTAAAACATCATTTTTTTTTCCAGCAGGCTTGCAGATTGCATGGAAACGGGGAGCTGCAAAACGGTTACACTGTGTGAATGTTGGTCCATTCTCTCGCTGTCTTATTTATATTTATGTTTAATTGTTTTAAATGGTTGCTCTGGATTTGTTTTTAACTGTTTATTTTAATGCACACTGCCTAGAGTCATGTTTAAGTGAGATGGGCAACTATACAAATTTGATAAATAAAATTATTCGATTGCTATGAACTGTTGTGAGTCTGGCAGCATAGAAGTTTAACAAACAAATAATTTAAAGTAACAGAATATCACCAGCATACCACTAAAACTGGTACAGAGTAGTGGATGCATTTTTGAATCAAAGATAGTGGGCTTCATATTTATTTTTCATTATTAAGCTGTCTGGATGACTTTGGCCCAATCATCTAATTCTAGTTCCATAAAAATGGCTGAAATTATTCAGATTTCCAACTCCCATCCATTACATCTTATGATAAATGGACAGTTATAAATATCTTAAGAAACAAACAAATATATTACCCGAACGTTGCATGAGCGATAACTTTGGGCTGGTCCTATGCAACTGGATCCACCATCTGTCCTGAAATACACAGTAACAATCAGCAAAAGCTTGTAAATGATTAGTGATGCCCAAACCATACTTTGCCAGATCATTTTTAGTATTTCTAACAAGGCAGTAGTTGCCAAGAAACTTCCTTCTGTTCTCCATTTCTCTAAGCAGTAGGAGTTAGGGTTACCTTTTTAAAAGTTAAATCAGTAATCTTGTAAAAGGAATGAACCCTGGTTCAAAGGTAATGTTCCCAGACTTCAACATACCATGGTTTGTTACAGCTGAAAGAAGTCATGATTTCATATCCTTCTTTCTTTTCTCAAATATTCCCTTGAAAAATTCAACTGAATTCTTCCTTAGTTAAAATAATTGTCTATGCTTTCTGAACTGACAGTTGTAACTGGAGCACTGTTTGTCAATTTGTAATGCAGGATTGAACCAGGAGAATTGTGAAACTCTTGGATAATCAATGCTGTCTTGAAGTAGAACCAGTTCTCTCAACTCCAATAATCTCTCTCCCTCAAGACACACTGCATTCACAAAATATTCAGACCCCCTTCACTTTTGTCAATTTTGTTATGCTCTAGCCTGATTCTACGGTTGTTGAAATTCATTTTTCCCCTCATTAATCTACACTCAGTACCCCATAATGACAAAGTAAAAACAGAATTTTAGAAATGTCTGTAAATTTATTGAAAAGAAAAAAACTGAAATATCACATTGCATAAGTATTCGGACCCTTTGCAACAACACTTGAAATTTAGCTCGGTGTCTCCCATTTCTCTTTATCGTTGCTGACATGTTTCTACACCTTGATTGGAGTCAGCCTGTAGTAAATTAAATTGATTGGACATGTATTGGAAAGGCATACACCTCTCTATAGAAGGCCTCAGAGCTGACAATGCATAGCAGAGCAAAAGCCATGACATCAAAGGAATTGCCTGCAGAACTCAGAGACAGGATTATTGCAAGGCACAGATGTGGGGAAGGCTACAATAAAATTTCTGTTGCATTGAAGGTTCCTCCATAATTCTCCAATGGAAGAAGTTTGGCACAACCAGGACTCTTCCGAGCTAGTTGCTTGATCGAGCTGAATAATCAGGGGAGAAGGGCATTAGTAAGAGAGGTGACCAAGAACCTAGTGGTCATTCTGACTGAGCTCCAGAGATCCTGTGTGGAGATGGGACATCACTGCAGCCCTCACCGATCTGGGCTTTATGGCAGAGTGGCTAGACAGAAGCCTCTCCTCGGTGCAAAATACATGAAAGCCCATTTGGAGTTTGCAAAAATGCGCCTGAAGGACTCTCAGAGTATGAGGAACAAGATTCTCTGGTGTGATGAAATCAAGATTGAACTGTTTGGCCTCAATTCTAAACCATTATGTCTGGAGGAAACCAGACACCGCTCATCACTTGTCCAATATCATCCCAACAGTAAAGCATGGTGATGACAGCAACATGCTGTGGAGATGTTTTTCAGCAGCAGGAACTAGGAGACTGGCCAGGATTGAAGGAAGGTTGAATAGAGCAAAGTACAGCAATATCCTCAATGAAAACCTGTTCCACAGCACTCAGGACTGGGCCGAAGATGCACTTTCCAACATGACAATGATCCTAAGCACACAGCCAAGACAACACAGGAGTGGTTTAGGGGACAACTCTATGAATATCCTAGTGTAGCTCAGCTAGAGCCCTGACTTGAACCCTTATTGAACATCTCTGGAGGAACCTGAAAATGGCTGTCCACCAATGGTCGCCATCCAACCTGACTGAACTTGAGAGGATTTGCAAGGAAGAATAGCAGAAAATCCCCCAATCCAGGCATGCTAGACTTGTCTCATGATATCAAAAAAGACTAGAGGCTGTAATTGCTGCCAAAGGGGCTTCAGCAAAGTACTAAGTGAAGGGTCTGTTTCTAAAATTCTGTTTTCACTTTGTCATTAATGAGGAAAAGAAAAGAATTTCAACAACTATAGAATCAGGCTGCAGCATAACAAAATTGACAGAAGTGAAGGGGGATCTGAATACTTTCTGAATGTACTGTATTTCTTATAAATTAGTTTCAACATTTAGGCTTCTTTCTCTTTTTCAGGAAGAGTAGCAACTCCTTCTCAGAGCACCAAACTGACAGATAAGAGGTAATTTAATTGTCAAACTTTTTAAGATGTGACCTTAGCCTCACATTCTGGAACCCTTGGGTAACATTTAAATAAGTCAAACGTGTAGTAAAGTGGTCTCACTAATATATTAACCATAAAGAAATGCTGCATAATTCATTCCCGCCCATAAGATCTGAGCAATTTAATCTCCAGCCCAGCCATATGGGAATGGCTTGTGAAATAGCACTCCTATTCAACTTTAAGCAGAAGATGTTGCCAAGTAAGGCTTTTAATCTTCAAGGACCTTGACTCATGACAGAAGCTTAAAAGATACCAGGACTGTAAATCTCTATATGTGGCAGGCTGGGGTAGAGTTCCTATTTTTTCCCCTGACAAAATTCATTAGTGAACAAACCACTAAGCACAATAGGATATGGATCATAACAGAATCCTGCTTCATAAAAGCATGTTGTGCTAAGTGAACAATTTTGAAATGTGGTTGCCATCGGGTAAATTCACTGCAGTGGGAAGTACACAGTTCGCTTCAGGGAAGGGATGGTGTAATTTCCTCTGAGGCCAATTTTGGCTGAAAAGGCAGGTGAACACACTGGAGAGAATTCAAATTTGTATGATTCCCGCATGTGCAAATCCTACTGGAGTCAGTGACACTTGTGGCAAGAAAAGAGACTTTAGAGCCACACCTTTGGAAAATACTCTCTCAAATCTATGGACTTTTCTTGATGCCATGAGCCTTTCCTTCTTTGGCCACACAACTGGGAGATCTGGATTTCCAACATATTTGTAATCCTTTCCCCAGTCTGGGGGAGGCTGATCCAAGATTTATCATAATAAAGTCATAGTGATTACTTATTGGACAGGACCCAAGGGACTTTCCTGCAGGGATCATTTCTGCTATGGAAAAATGGATTTTTTTCAATTGACAAATTGCCTACAGTACTGGTGGGTAGTGTAATGGCATCAAATATTGGTCCAATAATAAAAATAAGAAGATCATAAAAAATATAGTTTTCTATGGACTAAACAATAAATATAAGCTTTTGAGTTGTAAAGAATATTTTTCTGAGTTGGAAGGTCAAAGTTATGCACACATCTGGTACATCTTTGCTTTCTGAAAGACTGGAAAAAATTGATCCAGCCATTCCTCTATATTTTCTAAAAAGTTCATTTTTATGGTTAATTTTAAAATTGTTTTTCTAAATGTATTTAGGAATTCACTGTTCAATTATCAGAATAGGAAAATGCACATAATCTCTTTAGTATTTCGTGCAAGAGCCTATTCTCACAGCAATATTCTATGTGTATGTGTGTATGTGTGGTGTGTGTGGCACACTCTTCATAGGCCTGAACAAACCAAATGTATTACTCTGATTGCCACCACCAGATAGATTTGCAGTTGACTAACTGCACCCAGAGTGTCGTCCTCAATGGAACTACATCTACATTCAGGGAAGTATTGAGTGGGATATCTCAAGATTCTGCATCTCCATCTAGACCAGTGTTTCTCAACCTTGACAATTTTAAGGCATGTGGACTTCAACTCCCAGAATTCCACAGCCAGCAATGCTGGCTGTGGAATTCTGGGAGTTGAAGTCCACATGCCTTAAAATTGTCAAGGTTGAGAAACACTGATCTAGACCTACATGAGGGGATTGAAGGGGCAGTCATCAGATTGGAAGGTGATACCAAGCTAAGTAGAATTGCTAACATTTTGGAAGGTAGACTCAAGATTCAGAAGAATCTTGATAGTCTTGAGCATTGGACCCTATCCAACAAGATGCAATTCAGTGGTAAGAAAAGTAAGGTTCTGCTCTTAGGGAGGAAAAACCAAGTGCACAGGTGCAGAATAGGCAACCCTTGGCTCAACAGTAATACCTAGGAGATAGATTTAGGTGTCCTGATGGACCACTGCTTAAGTATGAGTCAGCAGTATGCTGTGGCCACCAAAACAGACAATGCATATCGTAGGCTGTATCAACATGAGAAGAGATAGTACCGCTCTACAATACACTAGTAAGGCCACACTTGGAATACTATGTCCAGTTATGGTCACAGTATAAAAAAGATGCTGAGGCCCTAGAAAGAGTGCAGAGAAGAACAAATATAATAAGAGGTTTGGAGGCTAAATTGTATGATAAATGGCTAAGGGAACTCGCTATGTTTAGCCTAACAAAGAGAAGACTTAGGGATGACATGATAACTATCTTCAAATACTTGAAGGACTGTCACAGGAAAGAGGAGGTTGATTTGTTCTTCAAAGCACCTGAAGGCAGGACAAAAAGCAATGGGTGGAAGCTGATTAGAGAGACAGATCCAATCTGGAACTAAAGAGAAACTTCCTAACTCTATTAGTCAGAGAAACAGCTTGCCTCCCAGAGTTGTGGGTGCTCCATTGCCAATGGTTTTCAAGAAAAGATTGGACAGTCATTTGTCTGGAATGGAATAAAGACTCCTGTCTTGGGCAGGGGGTTGAACTAGAAGACCTCCAAGGTCCCTTCCAATCTTACGATTCTATGATTGCAATGGAAGCAATTTAAGCTCTGAAATACGTCTTTTTCTTTCCATATAGCAGTGGTGGCGAACCTATGGCACGGGTGCCAGAGGTGGCACTCAGAGCCCTCTCTGTGGGCACGCGCGCCCTCGCCCCAGTCCTAGGCCTTCAGCTGGGTTTTATAAAATCTTTTCGCTTTAGGCCTCTGCCGTCATGTAAAAAAAAAAAGGTTCAATCAATCAGTCAATTTCAACTTCTCGTGGGAAAAAAAAAAGATCTTGCAAAGTTGGAATTGATTGATTGAACTTTTTAGTCCCACCCAGTCTGCCATTACCACCGCAGCCACGGCCACCCAATGGGCCACACCTACCCAATGGGCCACACCCACCCGGCACCCGACGATGCATAAGTGGGTTTTGGGTTGCAGTTTGGGCACTCGGTCTCTAAAAGGTTCGCCATCACTGCCATATAGGTAAGCAAACAGACTTCTCCCTGATTTCAAATAAATGAAAAGGGGACACTCCCCGATTATAAAAAATAGCAACCCCCCCAAAAAAAACCAGATATTTCTAGTAACGTTTACAAAAATGAAGCAATGAGATCTTCAGACATGTCATTATTGAGGGTTTTATATTCTCTCTGTGTGCAAATTTAAAGGTTTAATAAAAAGGGAGAGAGAGTTGATGACAGAGACCTTCATCTAGAATGCATATCTAGTAATTTCGCAATACCTTAGGACAAACTGATTTTTAAAAGCATTTGTTATGGCAGCATTCAACACTTTTAATGTCTGGCCTTGTTTATACAAGACTAGTACATATCCTCCAGAACATTGCAACTAATGGGTGCAGCTCTGCCTGCCCTAGCACGCAAGGCTCAGGCATTTTTATTACTACATAGATGTAACATCTAGAGTTTTGTTAGTGTTTGCAAAATGCCATGCTTACAATGCCTCTGCTATGTCTACAGTGTCTGCAAACAAAGCAGCACTAACCTGGAATTTCAGTTTGATAGCGGTCAGGAGAATTTTTCAGAGTTTATATCTGATTATTGTAAAGCTATTTATACCTGGATGAGCTATAAACAATTTCCAAATTAATTTTCCACCATGAGACTACAAGGCAAATTAGAAATGCACAATTACAATGGGATTTTTTTTTCTTTTAATGACCCTGTAATCCCTTTATTTGGGGTGGAGTCAGGGTGACTGAGTGGAACTGAGCATTTACTGACCTGATGCCCTTCCTGATGCCTACGTGGAGTTTGCAGCAGATATTTTCTCTTTGTACCCTGATAGAGAAACATCTTCTGCAAACCCCACATAGGCATTAGGAAGGGCATCCACTCAGTCACCCCGAACAATTTAAAAATAAATATTAATTAAATAAATTTAAATTAAATTAAATTAAATTAAAGTTCTAAGGCAATGTTCACAGTCATTAGTGTGGAGTAAATCAGAGAAGGGAAACATGAAAAAGTCTAGCATCATGAGTAGGAAGCTATTTCAAACCTCACATGGACATTGACCTGGGAAGCCATCAAATCCAAATTGCTTGGAAAAATAAATGCTTTTGTGCTATCTTCCCAAATAATCAGTTTCCCCCCCTCTCTTTCTACCTTTCTTATTTTAACAGAAAGATAACATCTATACAAAACCTTTGATCCTTCCAGGATATTGCTGATCTCAAAATTGCCAATCTTGGGGAAAATTCAGAAGACTTTCCAATCTAAAATTGTGGAAATATAGTTTATCTCAAGTCCATTTCTGCCCCTTGTGACCAGAATCAAAATAAAAGGTTGCATCCTATTATAAGTTGTGCTGCCATTACCTTTCTGTATTTGTGTAATGCTAATTGTTCAGAGCACTGTAATTATAATCTTTTCCACAAAATCAATATTGATGTTAATTCCTTGTTCCTTTTCAAACTACTGATGGGAGGAGAAAGACAACAGCTCACCTAAAGATGTCTAATGGCTTGGAGCAGAGGCTAAATCAAGTTACAAATTGATTTATTTATCCAAAAAGATTATTGATAAAAAACAAACAAACCATGTGACAGTCCTTACTGACCTAATTAATATCAAGATATTTGTTTTTTAAAACTTAGTTGGGATATGATGCTTACATCCTCCAGTTCATATATTTCATTCCCATTTGTTGTCACTTCCTACACTCATCCAGATCCCCAATATATTTAAATATAATCCAAGCAAGCACCATTAGGAACTAAACAAGACAAAAACATCTCCCATCAAATAGATAGGCAATTTTTGGCCTCAGAAATCTACCTAATGTTTCATAAGACGCTTCTTAATTTTCCATACAAGATCTGTTCTACCCTTTTCTTGTAAATGATACAACTTGAGTACAAAACTGAATTGCAAAGAAACAGTTATTACCTCCGTGAGTAGCAGTGCCTGTGCCGAAGACTGATGCCTCCACCACAGCTTCGGCTGCATTCACCCCATTCTCCCCAAATTCCCCAGAAGTCATTTTGCCTCTTTGCTTTTCGAGCCTGTAAGAACAATTCATTAGACAGCAAGAGGGTCAACATTTGGAATCTTAAAGATACTTTGCAACAACACAATATGGTTGAGAGACAATGACAACACTATTTGTCTCATCCCTCCTTTTGCCTCTCAGTGGTGTGGCATAGAGCAAACCTCTTGTGACAATGGCATTTGTGCACACTTGAGATGATTCATTGAGGTGCGCCTATCCCAGGGGTAGGCAACTTTGGCTCTTTTATGACTCGTGGACTTCAACTCCCAGAATTCCTGAGGTCAGCCATGCTGGCTCAGGAATTCTGGGAGCTGAAGTCCACGAGTCATAAAAGAGCCAAGATTGCCTACCCTTGGCCTATCCCATGCTCAGGAAATAATGTGCTGCAACTTGCTATCTATCATTTTTACAAATGAAAGTCAATTTGTCCTGTAGATCAGAAGACCCCAATCTTTTGAGCACCAGGGATCGGTTCCGTGGAAAGGGGGTTTTCCATGGACCAGAGGAGACGTGGTTTCATGTACTGCTTGCATTCCGTGGATGGGGCTTTGTTTGCGCGGACCGGTTTCTGGCATGCTGCGGCTTGGTGCTAGTCCACGGACCGGGGGGTCGGGGACCCCTGCTGTAGACTGTCCACACACATACATACACATAGGACAGGGAGAAAAGATTTATCATATTTCATTTCAAAAAAGAGTCATCTATCTACCAATGGATAGTTGAAGAAAGGCACAGAATGTAGGGAATCATCTATTCTTAATTACATTCAGGGCTTTTTTTGTCATAGAACACCCAGAACGGAGTTCCGGCACCTTTTTTGGATGGAACCTTGTAGGGTAGGCAAGGCGGATTGTATGACGTGTGTGAATTCCGGCACCTTTTTTTTTTTTTTTTTTACAAAAAAAGCACTGATTACATTTGCAAGATGTATGGGCCTTTCTGGGAATCCGAAAAACAATTAAAACAGTGAGTTGTAGTGTCTATACCAGATTATCTTCTTAAGTTTTTTTTTTTACATTCTTTTTGTCAGCCTTCCAAGGTAAACAAACTTGGAAACCAAAGGTGTACAAGCTGATACTACTTTTAGTATAAGCTTATAGTAACAGAATCTTGCAAGTCTGAATGTGTTTCCCTCCATTTCCCCCTTTTTCTTCATGAGATCTAGGGAGGGACATGTCTGAGACATTTTCTCAAATTACATTTCTGATCTGAACTCCGATTTTTTTAATTAGATCCTTGTCTTGGTTGCAGCTCTTCCTCCTGTCCCTTAAGGTTATTTCTGCTGCTCATTACATTTACAAAGTATTTATGTGGCAACTTAAAGAGTATTGAAAATTACATTGGAAGTCCAGCCATTTTTAAATCCGGTTTATGCTGCTAACATTCATAAGTAAATTCTGTTTTTTTCATTTTATGAAGTCCACGGTAGACATTTTCTTCCTTGACATGTCCAAGAATACTCGAGTCAAGGAGAGTAATAATGGATGGAAGATTAAGCATATTTTTCTAGAAAGAGCTCTTCAAATCATGGTTAGAATAACTGTAAGAAGGTGCAATGGCTCAGTAATTAAAGATGGTGAGCTTGTCAACTGGAAAGTTGACAGCCCTGGTTCGAAAGCTGAGCACCGCTTGACAGGCTGAGTCCCCGTTACAGCTCCTGCTAACCTAGCAGTTCAAAGGCATGCAAATGAGAGTAGATAAATAAGTACCACTTCGGTGAGAATGTAACAGTGTTCTATGAGCCACGGCATATAGTCATGCTGGCCACATGACCACGGAATGTCTTTGGACAACACTGGCTCCCTCTGCTAAGAAACAGAGATGAGCACCACCATCTAGAGTTGGACACGACTGGACCTTTAGAATAACTGTAATAATAATAATGACCCTTGTTTCCTCTTTATTTTGAGAAATTCCAGAAAAAAATGGGTCCTGCCCAAACAACTTCAAGACTAACTCAGAAGTGTCCATGGGGGGAGGAGGACAAATGGGGGTATGTGTGACAGACCCACAAATCAAGGACAAATGAAATTACCTCTGAGTACTTCTTGATGGCTGTTTTCCTATAGACAGAAATCTTGCCAGACTAAAGTAACTATCTGCATATTAGATATACCTTGTGAATTGCTAAGGAGAATCTGCCTTTGCCTTTTCCTGTACGTCACAGATTCCAAGCTCCAATATCTCTTTACTCTCTGGGAAAGAGCCCCTCCCTCTTACAATTCCACATTCCATTCCACCACATCTGATAAAATAAGCTTTACAATGTTGTGATGTAAGCCCCATCCATTTTGTATGTGTGTTGTGATGTTGAAAGCAAGGAGCTTGTGTTGCAATGTAACAACCATCATATTTTATAGGTGCCTCTGAACCAATCACCGTATATCTCTGGCCTTTCATTGGTTTTATGTAATCCTGCACATCTCACACAACTGTATACGAATAAGACTTAATTTAACAATCCCAAATCTCAAACAGAGAAAAAGTGTAAAAACCAAATTCCATTCCAAACTACTGTCTAGGTGTGCATACTGAAACTGAAACGAGATTTAACAAATCGAAACCCCAAGCCTATTTTTTTTTAAAGTGCTATAAGTATTTTGCCTAATATATTCTGAAGTGTGGGAATATACTACTGTATCTCCTAATCATTCTGTAGTTTCTGGATTAAAGATCCTAGTTTGTATTGAATAAACATGTTTGTGGTAAACTGGGCTTTGGTTGTGCTTGCAATATGTCAAATTGTGCCAGAATAGACTAATACTGTTCCCACTGTAAGCAGGGAGATAGCAATAAATATCAATGGATCCATCAGATGACCACAACATCTGCTAAGTGACATGAATAGATGATTGAGAACAAGATAATAATATGGAAAACATTATTGGGCTTTTCAGACACCCAGGAATGAATGAAAATGATAAGTGGAGAATATGTTTAGACAAAAGTGTGTTCATTTTTGAATATGGGAGTTGAAACTACATCTGTTCATGCATACACATTGAAAGGCAACGGATATTTAAGTATGTTTGATTTTATTTTCCATGTTGAAGATTTGGCAGAATTAAGGACTCAAGAATGGTGCTTGCTACCAAATGAGGAACACACAATTTCTGGTGATGTTAATATTTGGTGAATTGTGGGGAAAATGGACATGAAAGAAAAGAAGTGAAAAAAGTAGAGAAAAAGTACAATGAAAAACTAGAAAGTAAGATTTCTTTATGAAAAAAAAATCTTTTATTTACCCATAAAATAGATGGAAAGTGACCACTTTCTACAGGGGGACGATCGAGAGCATCCTGTCATTCAGCGTCACAGTCTGGTTTGGAAGCATCACTGCTTCAGACAGGAAGGCGGTGCAGAGAGTGGTGAGAATGGCCGAAAAGATCATTGGCAGTTCCCTCCCTCCCATCCAGGACATAGCACAGAAGCGTTGCTTGAGCAGGGTCCACAAGATTATCTGAGACACTACACATCCTCTCCATGACCTGTTTTCCTTGTTACCTTCTGGGAGGAGGCTTTGTGGTATCCGTAGCAGAACATCCAGATTCAGCCATAGTTTCATTCCATACAGCATTAACCTTGCGAACTCTCAAGCTTCCTCCTTCCGTTATATATTCAAGATGGACAGTATTTAATATTTATTTGCTATTTATATGTAGGGGTGTGGGTCTATACATATGTTTTACATAGTATGTTTAGGTCTGTGTCATGTATGTATTTCACTTTGAGAGCGGGCAACTAAATTTCATTTTTGACATGTGCCATTGTGCCCACAGTAAAAAAAAATGACAATAAAGGTTATCTTACCTTACCTTACTTTACCTTATCACAGGAGGATTTGGAATTACCCCAATGGGAAATATGAAAAATATATTTGGATGAATGAAGAACTGAAAGAGTCTGTACATGAGACAAGCATGCAGCTATAGAAGTGGCAGTTGTAAAAATGACGAAATACCTTCCATAATCATATAAATTCAGAAAATATTGCACAAATGTGTTCAAAGAGCAAGGGTTGGATAAGATTGAAACAAGCAGAAAAAATACAGGACAATTTTAACAATAGTAAAAAAAGTTGGCTTGGAAACAAGTAATAAGGAATGAATGGCTTAAAAATAACAACATGAATTGTGATAAAACAGAACTGAAAGGATGATGGCAGGCTAATGTCCAAGAAATAATGGATGAGAAGAAAGCTGTAAGTGCTGTCAGGTTAATGAAAAATGGTAAAGCTACGGATGATGTAAATGGAGATACATGAAAACTTGGTTATTGGATTTTTATGGAGTGGCTGCACAACTTGTTTAACTGTGTGGGTGAAGACTTTATTTGTGCCCAACAAATGGAAGAAGGCTGCAGTGGTATCCCTAAACCAAGCAAATAGCCAGAAGGAATGCAAAAAGCAGAGAGGGATTAAATTTTCAAGTGTGCCTGGGAAGGTGCCTGGCAGAATTCTGAGTGCAAAGAAGGGATAATGAGAGGTAAGAATGAATAACTTATGGAAAATCCAGTGCAACCTTAGCAAGGATAGCTGGATGCAGAACAGATTTTTGCTCTTCAAGAGATCATTGAGAAATGAATGAAGGTGGAAGCAGGAAGAGTTTGCAAGGACAGAAAAGTATTGAGAGGAAGTAGTGAAAGATGTTGATATAAAGTAAATGTGGCCCGATTTCCATTTTTCCCTTATCAAATTTTATTTCTTGAGCTTACTATTCCTTTCATAAGCCTTGCATAATGTATCTTACCCTGGAAAGGAATATTGTGATGATGGCTATATGTAGATGCTCTCTTTTAATCATTTTAAGAAAAAGTTACTTCTGTTTACCTATAAAGAACTGGTTCATTTTTTTGTTCTCACTATAAACCCATATTAGGTAAAGTTTATGAAGCTGATCTTGTATGTTGTGTAGGAAAGGCACCATTTACTGGACTGTTAACCATGATTTCATTCAAGGTTTTTGAAACATTGTGCCAGAAGAATGAGCAGTTCTGCAGTGACTCAACAAGCCTATTTTGTTCTGGTACAAGCTGAACAGCTGGTAAAAGATTATGAAGCCTGGCTTAAATCTTAATCTGCAGACCCAGGTGCAGGATCCTAAAAACTGCCAAGAAGCTGTAGATTTCAATACAATGTAATTCCCTTTGGCTTGACTGCTGGGTATTCTAATCCTAAATTTTAGAAGTTTTAGTCCAACTCACAAGTAGGAGCCAAACCTAACCTGAAAACCAACAACAGCATTGAAAACAAAGCAAAAATCAACACATCAGTGCACACATTCTCCCACCCAAAGATGGCATCATCTAGCATCCTGACCCAATGCAGGGGAAAGGGAAAACCATGTTTTTAAAGCTTTCCTAAAGTCTAACAGGGCCAAATGAATTTTGGGATCTGGAGATTGTTCCAAACAGCAGGTGCTACTACAACAACAACAAAATATTATAAAGTTCAAAGAAATCCCTCACTGGCATCAATGTGACCTTCCCTTGAAATACAAATAACATATTTCAAGAGGCATGTTGTTGTTGAAACTTTGGCAGAGAAAGAAAAAGCTAAACTTTGTCAAGGTCCTGAATCTGTTCACGCTTCCTCATGGCTGCTACATGGAAAATAACAGAAGTACCGGTATGTGCTATACAATGGAGATTATTTTTAGGATGTCAAACCTGGATAAAATGATAATAAATAATATTGTTTCTACTCCATCCTTGAATATGTTTAAACTCACAATGAAAATATCCATTCTTAAGAACATAAGAAGTTAACACTAGAACAGCTACATACAGTCTCTTATCCCAAAGCCAAGAGCGGCTGAGAGGATGCCTTTCAAACTCCTATAAATAGGATACAAGTGTTAATAGCTTACCTTCACTATTTGTCACCAGTTTTGATATTCAGAGGTACTGATTTCTGAGTATAAACCAAGCTTCTATTTAGCCATTTAGTATGTTAATGGGGTAATCTTCTAGTTCAGAGGTAGGCAACCTTGGCTCTTTTATGACTCGTGGACTTCAACTCCCAGAATTCCTAAGCCAGCATGGATCAACTTGGAAACCTCTCCCTTTCCCCTCAGCATGGCTGGCTCAGGAATTCTGGGAGCTGAAGTCCACGAGTCATAAAAGAGCCAAGGTTGCCTACCCCTGTTCTAGTTTATCTCTTTTTAAAGCCATTTTAAGATGCATCTACCATTATATTACAGGCAGTGCTGAAAAGAAATTTAGATTCTTTTCCAAACATCCATTTGGGAGTGTAAATTTTAAGGTGTAAAATGTCAAGTATATTTCATTAGCTGAGGAAAAATAAAAAATTAAATTTGAAATCTTCAGGTGCAGAACAGACCTAGATTGCATTTTGACTATGATTTGGGCATAAAAGCCTTGCCACAAAGAAATATGGGAGTATGAAAAAAAAAGTTTGATTAGATACCCAATAAAACATCATATACAATCTTTAAAGTTATAAAAGTTATAAAACTCACTCATTTGCCATGACCTTAAGATGGAGTCAATAAATGTGTATAGACAATGCTCAAAGCATTTCAGCTGTAAAGAAATCCATCATTTCTTGTAGTCACTTTCTGCAACTAGTGATTCACTGACAGGAACTGGTTTGTTAAAAGCTTTCAAGATGAAAGACAGTAAGCACCTGTAAAATGCATAATAACCCTATGAGTCATCAAGTGATCATGGAAATGTACTTGCACAAAACAGGAATCTGGTGGGCAAGGGAAGGTCAATAAATGAAGGATGAAACAGAAGATGGGGCAGAAAAAGAGCAGCATGCTACATAACAATATGTTAATTTTCATAGGTCAATTGTAGACTAGCTAGTGCCTAGAACAGGGGTGTCAAACTTGCAACTTCACATGACGTGTCGTGACGTATCATGACTTTTTCCCCATTGCCGGAGCTGGGGTGGGTGCGGTTTCGACATGACACATATGGCCCGCGGGCCGGCAGTTTGACACCCCTGGCCTAGAAAGTTGCAATAATCCAAAGTAGTCAATCAATCCCAAGGCTGCATGCAGCAAATTCTCTAACAGGTTCTGCCCTAGCTCCCAGAGAGCCCCATAAAGAAGTCAGGAAGTCTAGGTTCAGGTCAGTGGTTGTCTTCAAGGAGAATCCACCCATTCTTATAATTGAATTTTCTATAAGCTGATGCCAAAATAAAGCTGATGCTTTATTCTGATTGAACGAAGCAAAAAGAAAGTTGAAATTGGGAAGAACCTCTTTTGTTGGGAGAAACTTTTTTAATGTGTCACGACGTATTGCGACTTTTCCCCCATTGCTGGAGCTGGGGTGGGCGCGGTTTCGGCATGACGCATCCGGCCCTTGGCCCAGCAGTTTGACACATTAAAATCATGTGACCTTACTCCTATCAGCACTGTTCTATCATTACTGTTTCCTCTTTCAGTTACTCCAAAGCAGGGCTTTTTTTCTCATAGAACGCCCAGAACAGAGTTCCGGCACCTTTTTTGGATGGAACCTTGTCGGGTAGGCAAGGCGGGTTGTATGACGTGTGTGAGTCCCGGCACCTTTTTTTTTTTTTTTTTTTTACAAAAAAAGCACTGCTCCAAAGTATCAGGAAGCTGCTCTGCAATTGTTTTAACTTCTGTTTAACCTCAAAACACAGAGAACATGGAGAGATCAGTATGATCCACAGTTCTTCCAGTGTTGTGTGTATGTATGTGTGTGGGAAACAATCCAATGTGCTAGGGAAGAAAAATAAAACCAATCCAATCCTTGTTACATGTAAATTTTTCCTGTGATAGGATACCGTCTGTTTTGCACATGGGTGCTGCATTGGAAAGGAAACGACACAAACAAGACCCTCTTAAGGTAGTTGGAGCGATAAGAAATCCAGGACTTGGAGATGAGTTAAGTGGTTCACCTGTGAAAATACAGACTAGCGGCAAATTCCAAGGAATTGCAATGTTGTCAAAATAAAACAGCCCCAATTCCCAAACAATAAACTTTGGTCCTGCAAAGCGTAAGGAAGCCGACCTTGACAGAGATAGGCTAGATCAACATTCTCAACATGATGAGAAAAACAAGGCTTAATTTCAAAAATAACGAAGTAGGAAGAAGCAGCTCAGATGGACACCTAATTCACATGGTTATAATAAATTAGAAAGGCAGTTCCATGTAGAAGTATTCCTTATTCAAGGCTAATATGATAAATAAAACATACCAAGGAGCAATTGCTCAGGTATTTAACATTTGGCTTAACTGAGTTCTTTCAAGGATGCAGCATAGCATGGTTTACTTCAGAAAGAGGTGTTATGCCATTTTTAAATTCTCGCTTTTTGTTTTTAAAGGCAGTTAAGCACAACTGAAGGCACAATTCCTAACCATTCCAAACACAGTCTCAAATGAAGTCTTAAGAAGAGCGAGTCAGACTGATTCATAATTATGCTAAATCATTGCTTATTTTATCCATAAAGTGTTGAACAATGAGCTGGTCCAGACAAAATAGTAAGCCATGGCATAGACAATAGTTTGTAACTCACGGTAGTTGGATTTGAGTTAAGCCCAAACCAAGCAAAGCACTATGGCATAATGGGGTGAGTGATCTTAGATTTATCTTACTAGAAAGCAAAAGTCTGTGTCTCACAGAAGCACTTTTGTTGTTTTTCATTGATATTTACCTTGTCTTCTTCTGTCTGGAGGATAAAATAAGAATGAGTCATCTAATCCCAACCTTCTTAATTTACCTGTAGTTTCATAACAAAAAAGTGTCTGCTAATTATGCCACTTTCACTGAGAGTGCATTCCCACTTGCGCTTACCTATTCCATCATCCTTTCTTGAAAACAACAATTTATCCCCTTTTTCACACAACATTATCTCCATCTCACCTGTAACACATTGATAGGAGAGGCTTAAGGGCTTATCCTTATGCCTTTCCAACTATGACTGTACAAACATGTCCCACAGACTGTTTATAAATGAGATGTTCTCATGATTTTGCCTTTATAACTTCCAAAGTCCACAAGGCAAGTGGCTTAAAATCAATCTCAACTATTTGAGATTTAAAATAGAGCTTTCTCTGTTCTCCCAACACAGATTTTGCCATGGGCATGATTTAAGATGCTTCATTGAGGATGTGCTTGATGAAATAGTCAGGGGTTGGATTGGCCCAGGACATATTGGCTATATTAGACCGTTGTGGATATGCATCTATACAAAGGATCTGTATTGGATAATTGGTCCCACTGGTCACATTCTAGGCCAGGTGAAGGACTTCAGCATTTAAATGGAAAATTTAAAGTGACATGTCAAACTTTAGCAAGATCATGTCTATTGATTCCTGAAAAATGGAAAAGAGAGGTCCATTATAAAATATATGTACATTATAAAACCAAATAAAAGATAAGAGCACTCTACTTCTTGCTTATAATTTTAAAATGTATACCAAAAATCATGCCACTGGTAAAACTAACCCAATCTATCATTTACTGACTTAGAAAATAGCCTGGAAACACAACAGGGAGACCTCCACAGACTGTTGAAGGATGGTAGATACAAACATCAACTAAATACATATTTTTTTTGAGGAAGATGCAAGCATGTTTAAATATGCTGGTGCATAAGGCACATTTTTATTTCTAATATTACATTACAATTACATTACATTACATGCTTTATAATTTTCAAGTCAGCCTGTTCCTAATTTGGAAATGAAAGTACCACCTTGAATACATCAACTTAAGTAGCATAGGCAAATACTGTAGCAAATTCACTTCAGGGCATGTGTCATTGGAAGAAAACACTGCACATTTCTATATTTCTCTTCCTTCAGTCCCATAATACAGCCACCAATCAGCATCATTTAATATACAAATTTACAGCAGATAGTAATTTATAAAAGCAATAATTACCATCAGTTTTTAAAATGCAATCAATCAAACTAAACACAATCCAATTGGGAAATCAAACAAGGGAATTAGCTGTGAACCAAAACTGAGATCAAAAGCTTTCTTTAAAGTCACCGAGAGGCCACATTTAACTGGCAGACTTTATGGCAGAAGTCCCCAATCCCCAGTCCATGGACCAATACTGGGCCACGGCATGCCAATCCACACAAACAAGCAAAGCCCCATCTGTGAGATGCAGGCAGCACACAAAACCATGCACCCTCCGGTCTGCAGAAAAAGCTCTCTCCACGGAACCAGTCCCTGGTGGCCAAAAGGTTGGGGACCTCTGCTTTATGGTATTTATCTCCATTCCCCAGCCTGAAACTCTCTTCCCTGCACAAAATTATTACCGGAAAGGATGCAAGGAAGAGATGACTTTTCATATTCATATGTGTGCTGCTTCTTGTCTTGATAGGCAACATGGGATAACTTGGGCCTCTGAGCCTAGCCCGTAGAGTTTGCAGCAAAATTCCTTTCCCAGAATTTCATTCTTTCATAATTCTTTGGTTCTTCTCTTGCAGTGAGGGCTGCTTTCTTCAGATAGCCAAAGACACAATTACCATCGCTTCCCTTGGCATGTGGGATTCTATTTTGCTTGATTCTGCTTTGGCTGGTATATGCTTTCTCCAATAGTAAAAGATGCCAGGCGGCCTGAGAGGGTCTCCTAAGAGCCCTGCCTTAGAAGAAACTCCACATGAAGTGCAGGATAATTGAAACCAACCATATACGGCAAAGTAGGAGGCAAGGATTCCCAGATTTTCCCTACTTAAACTGCATTCATCAAAACAGCATTAGCATACAACATGTACCTTTGTTTTAGTATTCCACATCCTTTACAAACTTCTGGCCTTTATTTTTATTTGATTCTAGTTCTGAAAGTTGGATCTCAATACTTACCGCCAATGTAGATGGAGACATCACTGCCAGTGTAACCAGTAGGATTAAGAATACCATTGTGTCCTGCAGATGATAAGAAGAAAGTAATCTCAAAAGGAGAAACTGTGTTTAAAAAACAAAGGGAACTTCCCTCTCCATCTCTCTGTCATGGGTCAGTTTGCGTTCTCTCTCTCTCTCTCTCTCTCTCTCTCTCTCTCTCTCTCTCTCTCTCTCTCTCTCTCTCTCTCTCTCTCTCTCTCTCTCATCTGCTTTCCTCTCTTCAAGTTGTAGTTTAGTTAGCAGTGTTTCTCAACCTTGACAATTTTAAGGCATGTGGACTTCAACTCCCAGAATTCCACTGGCTGTGGAATTCTGGGAGTTGAAGTCCACATGCCTTAAAATTGTCAAGGTTGAGAAACACTGAGTTAGAGTGATTTTCACCAATAATCTTCTTTAGTAATAAAAATCTTCATGTATTACTAGATAAATTTTTACTTCAGAGGGAATGAATGTCTGCTAACATTCATTGATAGTTGATAGTCAATACTCTGCATCCTAATAATTTCATATTATGAGTAATTCATTATTCATAATAAGCCATATTACAAATAATTACTATGAATGCATTTTCCATATCATGGGACATTCTGTAAATTATTCAGTATTCTTCGACACTCTACTTATGTTCAAGAGCATATCCTCTAAAAAGTGCTGCTTCTCAATTCAACAAGAGTAGCAAGGATTATTTACAAACAATCCAAATTGTGTTATTTTTTAAAAAAATAGAAAAAAATACATAAATGAATAAAGATAAAGATCATAAAAGGGATAAAGAATAAAATAGAAGTGAATACGCTTTAGTTTTATAAATGTCACAGAGGTTATAATTTTCCAGGAGGTCATTACTTGACTAAGAATCACTATTAAGCTCCATATAAAACATGAATATCAGGAACCATGGTCAGTACAGTATTAATCACAGAACGAAATTATGAACTACAATAAATTCTGGCAAATTAAATTACAATGTCTCTTTTCATATGTGAATTGGAGTAGAAAAGTGGCTGCTGGTTTGAAGTTAAACATTCCTTTATCCTCCTTCAACCCTGATCATTCTTTCTGCCCAAAGTAATTTTTCATTTGAAGGCTGTTCTTTTCACACTACAGGTAATTCTTGACTTACAACCACAATTGAGCTCGGAATATTGGTTATAGATCAGCGGTTCTCAACCTATGGGTCGCGACCCCATTTAGGGTCGATCGACCATTTCACGGGGGTCGCCAAGCAAGGCTGTCCGCCATTTTTTCCCCTTTTCCGGCGGGTGCCTTACCTCCCTTGGGCTGGGCCAGCTGGTGGTCGGCCTGCTCCGTCTCTGCCGCTTGCCAGCTACGCCTCGGCCGGCGCAGGGGGCGGAACCACGCATGCACGGCGCTCCCGGGCAGGGAAAGTCCTCGACCTACGACCGGTTGGGTAGTCCTCAACTTACGACTGGTTTAGTTCTCGACTTATGACCGATTTAGTCCTCGACTTACGACCGGTTGGGGGTCGCGGCATTAAAAAGGTTGAGAACCACTGTTATAGATCATTGTAATTCACCACGTGTCCAGATTCAATTTTATGACCATTTTTATGACGGGCATTAAATAAGTCACCATAATCATTAAGCGAAATACATGGGTATTAAGTAAATCATATGGTTATAAATCCAAATCTAGCTTTTCCAATGGGTGTTTTTTTGCCAGAAAACAATCATATGACCATGGAATACTGCAACCAGTCATAAATGCAAGCCAGTTGCCAAGCACCTGAAATTTGATCACATGACCGCATGGTGCAGCAGTCGTAACATTGAGGGTGGGTCATAACTAACTTTTTGTTAGTCCAGTGTAACTTCACGTGGTGGTTAACTGGCTAGTGTGAGTAAAGTGCTATCTGTAGTGATTGCAGTATGTGTCAATAGATCAGTAATGAAGACAAACTATATATTGCTAGATGACAGTACAAGATACTATAAATCGTTAGCCTGGAAACGGCCTCTGTCATTTCCTTCTACACATAATGTATATGACACTTAACTTGGCCCTTCAGGAGAGGGTATTTTGTTACATTTATTTTGCACTGTTCCCTGGTTCCACCATTGTTGGATCTTCAATAACTATCTTCTGCTCCTTTGAAAGAAATGTGTTGTGCAGTCACAGGTTGAGAATCGAAGGAAATTTTCACTGACTAATCCGGATCTGATTCCCATGTTTCTGTCAGTCAGGGGAAAGCCTTCAATTAACTAGCTTCCCTTTGTTGCACTAAATGGGACACATGTGCTTTTATTAAGGGGGCTGCAGGAAACAGGTTTTCCAGCTCCGGTTTCCCTGCCTTAGAAGTACCTTCATTTTATTGGGCAAAAGAGCCAGCTGCAGCCATCTTCACATGGCAGCATCAATGGCTTTGGGGGGGACAGGTGCAACCACAGGAAATGGTACCAGCGTACTTATTTTCCTTTTATTACTTCAAAGCTAGGCCAGGTTTGTAGAAATGCAGATTTGATAATCCCATTCAAAAAGACTGAGGCCCCATTCATGAGCAAATACTACCTACAGAAACTCATTCAAGAAAGGATCTTTCGAAATCCCTTGGAGCAAGGTTTGATAGCTAACAACAGCAGAGTGATAGGATTAGAACCAGCAACCCCTCACCCAAAAATCCAACACAGGACATAGCCATCAGCCCCAGCCCCAGAGAATCAGGACATGACCTTTAGGACATAATAGGATTAACCGACCACCATTAGAATACCAAAAGGGCATACCTAACCTCAAGTCAAAGTTCATGCCACAGGAACAGGAACAAACACAAAAGCCCAAGAAGGTATAAAAACCCACCATTCCCAGTTCCATGTGGTCAGCTGCCCCAGAGCCACATGCTGTTGTGGTTCTGCTCTTCAATAAACAAGAGCCTTCTTTCTAAAGCAGTCTCCATTTGGTTTATTCTTGGCTTGGACTGGATCCTGATGAAGATTTTTCTTTCAACAGAATAGTATTAAAAAGTATACCCCATATGATTTTCAATATTTTCTTTGAATTTTACAGAGATAGGAAATAGTAAAACATATAATCATCATCATCAAAGTTAACTGAATTTCAGTAGCCACCCTATGCTTTTAGGTTACAAATAATATTATTGGCTAGATGTTCAAATTTTGTTCATTTCTCGTGTGTTTTTAATTAAAAGTGAATTTATTAAATTTATTAAAAGGCATAATATAAATAACTTTGACTTCATTTTTATTCCTTCTGATTAAAACAAAATTTTAAAAAGGCACTTTGGACAGTGAGATGGGCAGCATATAAACAAACATTTTCATGGGCCCTAAGCACTTTATCTACTTAATTAATAAATCAATCCTGAGTGAGAGAGTGCTGATAATAAGTGCTGGCAACCAAACAATGATAGGCTGACAATTCTTTGTATTTTAGTATTAGGTAAAAAGGAATGGTGTTGATTGGTTGATTGGTTCTAGAATCTACACATGCTTTTCCTTGTAGGGAAAATATTGAGGTAACCCTGAAAGGAATTTTCTAATTCATTCATGAGTGTCCATATGAGGATGTTTGTATGAATAGAGCCAAGCCCATTAAAAGTGTCGTAAGACAGATGCTTACATTCCAAAAGGACAAATAAAGATTGTTAAGGAAGTTCTGACAAAAAGCCTGCTTCTTTTTGTTTTTCTCTCCTCATGGTGGGAAAAGGAGAAGGAGAATGTGTCTGCTCTCTCTCTCATACTTACCTGAAGCCCCTAGTGAGGAGTGGGATAAAAAACACAAAAAGTTATTTCCTTCACCCAGGAGTCCTTATGTATACAACCTTATTTATAATAGGGGTTCCCAGCCAGGGGTGCTCACACCCCCTGGGGATGCGAGACGATATTCCAGGGGGTGCGAAAACTTGGGTTTTCAAAATTATAGTGTACTGTGTATGCATAATTCATTGCTGTTATTTTGAACTTTTGTAAGGGGTGCGAGAATATATCAGAAGCGTTCTAGGGGTGTGGGATATAGAAAAGGTTGGGAACCACTGATCTGTAAGATATGAACTATCTCTAGAATAACATGGAATAAGCTTTTTTATTGAAATCAGAAAGGCTTTGGCATGGGATAATGGGTCATCTGGACAATTCCAGAATCCAGAATATCTTTTCAAAACTATGGCTATTTATTTGGAATGTAATATAAAGAGCATATTCAAACATTAGATGCCTCAGGGAACCAATAAAGCTTGGTTGCAATAGTCTTGCTGCTAAAGATAAAAATCAGGAATTTGCAGTACTCAAGTACTGTTACTACTACATCTGGAGGGGTGTGTGACATGTAGTTCAATAAAATTATCACTCTATGCCGTATGTTAAAATCTATAATTTGTTTTTGGCTAATATTTGAAAATCTCAAGTATTTGAAAATTAACAAGAGATCAAAAATGGAGGAGTTTTCAGTTTCAATGGTTGGCTAAAACAATTATACTGTACTGAAAGGTATGTCTATGAACAATTATCAAGCCAGATAGTGAACTGAAGGGAGAACTGCAAACTAGATTCCCTAGTCTAGAATGTGTCTTTGGGATGTTGCCAGTCTCTCTCCAAGTCCGGATTGTACAGCTGTTGCGATATGTCCCTGGTTATTTGGTATTGAGCCACTGTCTGCATCTGGGGAAGATTTATGCAGAATAGGGAAAAATATTCTGATTTCTACTTGTGTACTAATGATGCACACTAGATCATAACTTGCATAAGATTTTATAATCTGCAAATGACTGCATGGTACTTTAGGTCTGAATTAGTGCAGAAATATTTTGTTGACATTTATTTTTACATGTTTAAAAATGCTTTAAACCATCTCTACCTTCTGCCAAATTTTTAATCTGAAAGATTCACAAGAAATATTCACTTTTCATTCCTTCACATGGAGCTTTTACCCCAGCTAACAATAATTAATTCCATCTCCTTTCTAAACTTTGTGCTTTAACATCTGTTTTAGCATGAGGGACTAATGTAAAATCTACCCCAAAGAAGAACGTAGCAAACATTCAACCATTT